AATAATATTTGGAACAAAAAACTTATAAAAATGAAAAGTATTATAGCATACTGATGTGGCCAGAAAGAAGAAAATAGAGTTATATTTATTTAAAAGAAAACACACACACACACACACACATATATATATATATATATATATATATATATATAATTTAATTGAACTTTTGTCCTTTTACTGTCATCAGAATTTGGCATTAGTCTTTTATTTTATTTTTTCAAATTTGATCTCCGGCCGATGTTTTAATTGTGGTTTTAAGTGTGACGTCCGTATTTTCCTTAAATATTAAATGTCATATTGATGATTAAATCAAAATTTTCCGATATATTAAAATATTAGGAATCAAATTTATGAAAAAAAATGACTAAATTCAAATTTAAAAAATAATAGGAAAACTAAAAATGCATTGTTTTTCTTCGATTCATTTCTAAATTAGAGCCTCATAAAAACGAAAATTAAAAAAAAATCCAATAAAAAAAGAGGCATTTGAATTGACGGGCTAAACTAATTAACTAAATAGCAGATGCCTATAAATATGAAGTCATAATTAATAACGTTGTTTATTATTATTATTTTTTAATTTATGAGTATGAGTAATATGACGAAAGATGACGCATTGGTGAAGTCATGAATTTGTCAATTGATGATGTCATTGTAACATGTTGTGACTCTATAACAGCCATGCCATGAGTGTTACACATTCATCGTTCAAAAGTCAAAACTTTATTCACAAGTCTTTTTCCATTTTTATTGTTTTTTAAAATAATGGACATTTGGATACTATGTACGCTATACATGTGACCAAAGAGATGTATTTCTAGAAGATAACTATTTTATGAAGATGATGATTATAATACTGTGTATTTTTATTTATATAATTAATTATACGATTCATTGTTATTAATTATATTGATCAGTATAAATAAATACACTAATTAACATTTATTTAAATATTAATAGGATACAAGTGAATATAATTATTGGCATTTAATACTCTTAAAATTTTCAATATAACCAGAGATTCGTTCCCTCTGTTCTGTTGGCTGTGCATTATGTCCAAGAAACTTTAGTCAAATCCACAACACATAGCATTCACACTCATAAAATCAAATTATCAATTCATATAATACGTGATCTGTCATCAAATATATATATTTTTGTCGAATCAATATACTAGGTGAAAATATTAACTACTTTTTAATATATATGTATCCTTAAGACGAATTAACATTTATTTAAATATATCTCACGTTCAGTGGTAGGGATTGATCCACGCTTAAACAAAGTTAGGGATTTGAATTTTGTCTTGTGTATGCAGTCGCGTAAAATTTTAGGGTCAATTATCTCATCTTTTGAGGTGACTTCAATGTAGCGAGGATATTTGTTACTGTATCAGCCCTGGATATTCAAGGGAAAAAAAACATTTATTTAAATATTAATATGATGAATGGGTGCTGTTGAGTGTTGACTTCTGAAAATATATTTGTTTTTATCTGTTCACACTTCAAAGCTTATATGGCGGAGCGGTTATCGCTTCTCTCTGCTTAATTCTTCAAATATATTTCAGTTTTAAGACTCAGAAACAAAGAGAGGATGTTTTAATGGATCTAAAAAATAAATTATATTTCACTTTTAAGACTCAAACAGATCCAAAAAAAATATCCACCAGATAAGCTTTGCGTGAGTGGTTTAGGATATATATATTAAATAATTTTTTTAAAAGGTGTGTTCTCATCAAATCACATTATTTTCTTTTTTAATAATTGTATTGGTACAAAGCAGTCATCACAATAGTCGTAACTAATTTCTATCAAGGACCAAAAATATATGTAAAGTAAATATTTTGTTTTCAACTTAATTTATTTTTACTTAATATTAGAATTTCAACTCTAAAAAGTAAATTTTTCCTATCTTTACCAAAAAAAAAAAAACACAGAATGAAAATTTTTGTTAACTTTTTTATACTAATTATTTAAAAAAGATATATAAAGTTATTAATGGTTAATTAATTATAATTTTTCTTCACTTTGACATTATATATACTAGCGTACAAAAAATATTTTATGTATCTATAGATTTGTATTTTTAAATAATAAATAATTATTATTATATAATAATGAATAATTATTAAAATATACATGATTATAAAGTAAAATTTAAAAAAGAATAAAAAATTATAACTTATAATAAAATAGTTACAAGGTTAAAATTGAATAAAAATTGTGTTTATAGAAAAAGTTCAATTTAAAGTAAACTCTCTTGAACTACTCTCCAAAGAATCATGTGAACTCTCTTAGGCCCATTTAAAGTAGATGAGAATTGCTTATAAACAACTCTCATTGTAAATGTTCTAATAGTGTGTTTGGATGATGAATTTAAATAGAATAATTAATTTATTTGAAGAATTTCAAATTTTTTGAGGGGAAATACCTTGTTTGGATGGAAAATTTATACAGAATTTGAAATTTAATCATTTATGAAATTCCTTGAAATAGAATAATTTCAAATTCTCCAAAAAAAAGTAAGAATTTGAAATTCTTCATATTTTTTTTCTTATTTCACTTATATATTTTATCTTATCTTTTATCTCTTCATGTTTTCAATTATTAAATATCTAAAAATATTTTTAAAATTATTAAATATTATTTAATATTAATTTTTAAATTTATTAAATATTTAAAATTAATTAATATTAATTTATAAAATTTAATTTAAAAATCTCAACATATAAACATATTTTTAAAATTAATTTTACCATGGTAAAATCAAATTATCATATCCAACTTAACAATTTAAAATTTACAAAATTTAAATTGACTTATTCAAATAAAATATTTTAAGAATGATAGAAATTGAAATCAAAATAATTCAAATATCAAAATTTTAAAATTTCTTAAATTTGTAAAAAAAATTATTCAAACACACCATAAGACAAATAAAACACAATCAGGTTTCATTAACTATTGAATTTATTAGTCTTAAAATAAAGGGAAGGTAAAATGAATCTTACCCAAAACGCTCAAGCCATTAAAGCTAAAATAACCTTAAGAATGCGATGATCACTTAAACCCATCAATCTTTTCTTCTCCGTGAATAAATCGCAAAATATTCAATTAATTTAGCTCATCTTTTAAAATATTGGCATCAGGATATCAAGCATTTAATTAAAAAAATGTCATAATTGGATATTAAAATCTTACCTAAAATGATATATGATTATCCTTAGGATTATTTTTTATTTTTATTGGAAGGTTGGTCGGATCCTCTACCTATAACAACAAATTCCAATTCCGAATCCAAATAGCTTGTACAACAATCACAAGTTGTTGATACAAAAGAAAATAAAGAAGATACAAAATGATCACAAATTGTCGATAAACCCTATATAAAGATCACATAGATGATACAAAAGAAAATAGAAAAAGTGACAAATTTAAAAATAAAGTAGCAAATTATTAATTTTTTACCAATAAATTGTTAATTAGTCATTTTCTTTACCTTTTTTTTGTATCTTTTACATAATCACTGTATTGGCTATTCGAATACAGTATTAGAATTCACTTGCTACAAATAGAGGACCCAATCAACATTCCAAGAAACACAAATTAATCCGAAGGACAATCATATATCTTCAGGTAAGATTTCAATATTCAATTATATTTATTTTTTTAATTAAATACTTGATATGTTGTTGCCAATATTTTAAAAGAGGATCAAAATTAATTGAACATCTTATGAATTTCTCTTTGAGGTGCGTGATGGTATTCACTTGATAACATTTTTCTGAGGTGAAATCCCTTAGATACAATAGGGTTGTCTCAAGTAACATAATTAATAAGGAAAAATTTTAATGGAGAGTCAAGAATAAAAAGAGAGAGAGAGAGAGTTAAAGTGAGGTGGAGGCCGTCATAAATAGTGAAGAATAGGTCTCTATTTATAGAGTTATGAAACTTGTATAAAACTTGTAAACAAGTTAATTAAGAGATATTAGTCAATATCATTTATATCAATTATTAGTATATATGAAAAATTTTGTTAACTTTTATAATAATTATTTAAAAAAGATATATGAAGTTATTAACGGTTAATTGATTATAATTTTTCTTCACTTTGACATTATATATACTAGCGTATAAAAAATATTTCGTGTCTCTAAATTATTATTTTTAAATAATAAATAATAAAAATTATATAATAATAAATGATTATTAAAAATATACACGATTAGAGTAAAATTTATGGAAAAAAAAATAAAAAAAATTATAATTTATAAAAGAATAGTTACAAG